TTGGACCCACCCCAGGCGCTCAAACGCTCACGACGCGAAAACCTCATATGAAGGGGTCGGACCCGAATCCTCTCTCTGGAGACTCCTCTGGGGTCGAACAAAATCCGGTTTTGATAGGCCAAGGGCTGTGAACGGAGCATCTGGGCATGAAGAACATCTGAGTTTATTGGAGACATCTGGAAGAAAAGAACGTTCTGGACCCGCAAGACCATGACAAATATGGCTGCATCTTTCATACCCAAACATGGCCGAGTGATCCCGTATACCTGTCATCCCAAATGTAATCTGCTCCAAGCAAGACAGGTATCGATGGCGTTTTTACCAGGACCCTCCTGTCGGGGTGCCCTGTCTGGAAGCCGAACGGCCGGTAGTGTGGGGTAGTCCAGCCAGGACACCCCGAAGGTCGGAGGGTCCAGGTATAAGTCCTTTAGTTCTTTTTGTGGCCAAACATGGAGATAGTTCTCGACCTTGCGAGTGGCTTCTCGGTTACTGGAGGTCCCTTTTTGTTCAGGTGCGCACTACTTGCCGCTTTTGCATGCAAAAGTGCACTCCTACCCATGCTCTCGATGGGTTTACCAATTGGTGTACCTTCAAAAGTCAGCACCAAAGCTGTTTCGTCCAGCTGGTTTACTTGCTGGTGGAACCCCAAATCTCCAGCAAATACTTGAATCATTTGAGCAAGTTGCTGCAAGGCTTCAAGGTGTCAGATTTATCCAGCACACTTTATATACATATTGGAACCCTCGCGGGCCCGTCGATGCTTCATCTTCGATTGGGTTGATTCGATTACTGTCGGGAAGCTTAGGACCGTTTTTATGTAAGCCTGGACCCTCCAACGACAAGAATTTTCTTATAGTTTTTGTTTTTGACTACATTTTGCAAGCAAAAACTGTAAACGCTACAACCGCTAAGAACGACATAGTTTCCTGGATTCTCGTAATTTACTTCAGTTTTGGTGTCCTGACTGCCAAAGGTTAAGATGGGACGCTTGACAAGAATTACCCGCAAAACGCCCGCAAATATCCCGCAAACGCTAGCAAATACCCGCAAACGCCCGCAAATCACATTTCCTTGTCGTTCCAGTTGTTTTCTCTCTGTTTGACTGTGCCGGTAATGTTTTTACGAAACGCTAGGTTTGTTATCGAATCGACAAGAATGACATGATTTTTTGTCAAACGATTGATTTCAACAAACGACGAGAAATCTCTTTGCATTGGAGGTTCAAGGAGTGTGATTTTTGGGGGGCACTTACCCTCCAAGCTGTGCAAAACAAGGGAACTTGGGCTTCCGGATTGCCAACCAACACCGCTCTTAGAGTCCTCGCCATCTGAACGACTGGGGTAGCTTCACGGCTGGAGCCCGAGTTCGAGACCTATCCACCTCCCAATGCATCGACACTATCGTGCCACCCCAACTGGCCTCCGAGCCGTTTTTCATAGAAAAACTCTGCCATCGATTTCAAGTTCAACCACCCTGTTTCAACCTGGAAACGCCGTCCCAAGATCAAGCAACAACAAGGTTACTTCCAAGTACGGCTTCCTTCCAAACCCCGCTGCAGTCGGAAGCGGCACTCTTCCAGTGGCTGGGACTGCGCCATCCCATCCCGCCTTCGCTATTTGCTCCTTGGATCCCTTGGCACGTCCCGACTTCCGTAGGGAATTCTGCAGGGCCTGACGGATGCCACCGTGCGTGCGAAAGGGAGGATGCTTTGGGCAGCTGCAGGTGGTTTGGTGATGGGCGGCTCCATTTCTTCACTTATATTTAAAAAAAGGACATGTAGCTTGACCAACAAAAATCATCAAACATCCAACAGTTTGATGAACGAGAGGACCTGACATGATCGCCGAAATCAAATCGTAGAGTCCGTAGAGTGCTTTTTTCAGGGCGGCCATGAATGGAGGCAACCTAAATCCTGACGGCGGTACCCTACAGCACAATGAACCATGCCTCGGCGGGTGCTGAGGCGGGACAATCAATGCGACCTTCTTTTAACGCTGCTCTCCCTCTATCTCGGCAAAGTCTGGCTCTTGCCATTTCTGTTGCCATTTCTCCGGCTGTGCCAGAACCGAAATGCCGAAAGGCAGTGCTGCGAACGCCGGTCTCTCTTTGGCACGGCGGTCGTGGCCAATCGTAGCGAATTTCCTGCGGCCACTCCGAGGAGTCGCTAGTTTGCCACGAAGAGGGGTGAGCAAACCAAGGTGATGGTGGAAAGAAGCTTGATGAGAACCTCGATTTCCGCGCTTTGATCGGTTTTGGATCAAACCCCTTGAGCCGAAGAACCCGCGAAGGCTAAGGCTTCATGGTCCATGGACTATCCTCACCACTGGTGATCGGTCCCACGAAGCGCTGCAAGCAGCGCTGCGCTGCGGAACCAGCGCTCCGAGTGCTAAACTTTTGGGGGGGGCGGAAAAGTGTTCAACTTACGAACCACTAAATATCGAGGTCAGTGGGATCGAAACCACCGCCAGCCAGTTCTCTTTTTCGCTTCGTTGAAGCGACCATGGCATTGGTTGGACCAACACCGCCCCCACACCAACTAAGCAATAAGAACATCAAGTTGTTGCTTGGGGCGCGTCCGGGAGGGCGCAAAAAACTACAAGTGGCCAGCTGGGCCACGCTGGGCCACATGCCGAATCCCAATTCAAAACATCCACGTCCAAAAAGATCACACCCTGACCCCCTCAGTTTTCCTCAGAGAAAAGGTTAACCTCTTTTCACCTCAGAGACAAGGTTTAGTGAGGAAACCAATCCCGAAAAAAGGTTAAAGGTTATCCACTGACTGGGTAGGCACCCAAACAAGAGTCAAACACAAACACAAACTGTGTGCAGTCAGGGTCCTTTCCAATGAACGTCCCTAAGTCAAATGACATGCCAATTGCCTGTGGGCCTATGGGCATCTGCAACTCTTGTTTGCCACACTGAAGAGGACCCTCACTGCATGCTTCTCAGCAAAGCCGGGCACAAGCAGCAAGAAGATACTAACAGCACCCGACTCTACAGGTCTCTTCTGGGTTTTTTGGAAAAAGTGGGAGGTGGAGACCTGGCAGGTTTCGGGCTCTTCCAGTCCCAAAGGCGACATCCAAAAGGAACTGGGGAAAAACATACAGCTTCACCTACCAGGGCCCCCCGGTGCCAGGGGTGGTTAATGGACATCCCGAATCACCTCTAAAGAGCTAGTCCATTGGGCACCCCGACACCGGGCGCCCTGGTAGTTGTCCTTGACAAGAAGATAGTGTTTCTGGTTTTCACGGGTTCAGGGTATGTCCACCCCCAAGTAGACTAAACAACTTGTAGACACGTCGAGCAGACTAAACACATACACATCCGGAAAATTAACATAGAGCCCGAGAGACACTGGGTTGCAAAGGAAGATAGCCTTCCAGTCTGGTCCATGCCAAGCCCGGTTCCATGTGAGTCTTCCCGGGTGTATCTGGAACCAAAGCCACTTCGACCCTCGAGGGGTCCAGTCGTCTGTACCGGACCCTGAGAGGGTACGACTGGGACGACTTGCTTCCAGACCAGGTGTTTCCGATATGTCCTTCTTCACTTTCTCCAAAGGGTTGCAGTACCCAAACCATCCAGGCTCCCACGAGAGCTCGCTCGCTGGTGGTCCCAGTTCGACCGAACGAATCCCTGGTTCTTTATATGCTTCCTTCCACCAACAGCACTGGAGCCAGTTCTTTTCCACGCCCAGGCGCATGGAGCGATGGTCCGGCCGTGTCCTTGCTGGGATCTCCCACGGTGTCGCCAGTCACCGCCGCCTTATGCGCAGCGGAGCCCTTGCCGCCATGCACGCCCTGCTCGATGTACTTCTTGGCATTGTCCCAGGCACCCCCTTGCAGGGTGGTGTGGGTGCCGGACCGCACGGGAACTGGTGTCCAACAGCCTGGAGGTCCTGGCTGCTAAGGGTGAAAAACCTCTTTATAGAAGTGGGTTGTGCAAAAATAACCCAAAAGATCCAAAAAGGACTTTAAGGGTCTAAGACTCATGAGGAAAAGCAAGTAAAGGTTCGGTACTCTCGGGGCCACCGGGAAAGGAACATCCAGCTGTTCCGGATGATTAAGAACCTTTGGGACCTTTGTTTCAGGAAAAAATCTGCATGAATAAAGCCATAGTTTTGGGGATGAGCGCCATGGGTTGCTTGTAGATGTTCCCTGAACCAAATACTGGGAAGGTGCCTCACCTATCCTAACTACAGCCTCGGAAGGTGGTTTGCTCCAAGGTGGTTTTGCCAGGATGGACATGATGGACTTCTGAAAGTCAGGGCACATCGCAGCCATGCTTTCCCTCCCTAGAGGTCGACGGAGTTCGGCTCAATTTACTGGAGTTGATATGCAGAAAACCTCCTTAGAACTAGTGAGGTTTTCGGGGATATACTGCCAAGAGATGTACAGAACTACTCAGTGCATGACTATCTGGTCTTCATGCCATGTCAGCCAAGGGTTGCTTTCCACGGTGGTACAATCGGACATCACCACAATCGGACATCACCGTCCGCCAGGGCGGCCGGAGTTGCCCCGCAACCCGTTCGCGGCGGTTTCGGTTGGCCGCTCCGATGCGGTGCCAGACTGGAGACCTATCCCGGTGGGATCCTGTGGGTCCGTCCAGCGAACCACCTGGCCTGCTGTATTCAGGAAGATTGCGAACAGGACACCGGAGGAGGTGGCAAACATCAAGAAGCTTGCAATGGCCTGGCGGTCCGAACGGGCCGCGGTCGAAGGAGACGGCGTTCCCAATTTTGTTCGACTCACCGTTTGTGTGATGTGAAGTGGGTGGGTGGACTTATCGATACCGCTTTTCTGAACATGTAGATGGCATAAGGATGGCAAGAGAGAAACAAAACATACTATGACCAGGATATGCCCTACTTGATGGGTACAGCCCGTGTGCTTCCTGTGTGCTTCCACTATTTCCTATGATGCCAGCTGCTCTATACCCTTTGTTGTTGGACGATGTGTTCAAGCCCGAAACCGCTGCTCCCTCGAAGTCCGATGACGGAGCTACCATTGCCCTCGTGAAGTGACGGAGCTACCATGACCTACCCGATTCAGCAAGACAAAGCAACTACAATTGCTGCTCTCCTTGCAATGGCTCGAGCCTTGCCGAACACATGGCCAAGAGTAGAAATGCTGCAAATATGTTGCAGAATTTGGCAAGGTTTGGGAACCCATCTCAAGTGGGAAGTAGCTCTCCGGGGTGTCCCCCATCCCCCAAAAAGCATTCTTTTTAAAGGTGCTCCACTTTTCCTGGGTGGCAGGACCCAACCTCCTACAGGTAGCTTCAACCTGCTTCCTGACTCCCGATTCTGCGAACCTTCCACCTGGTTCTCGTTTGGTGCTTTGGCCCTGCATGCGATCGATGAGCCAAGCACGCTCCCAGCGGAGCAACATCCCACCCCCATCAGCAGCAGACAGAAGGCCCGCGGCTGCCTTGGCTCCGATAAGCTTGTCGTTGCTGCTGCTGGTCAGCCGAAAGAAGAAGCCCACGCAGAGTGGCACCGTGGTCGCCACAATGCCTGGATACGAGGCCAGGGGGCTCAGGGTCGAATGGTCGCGGCAGGGTAAAGGTCCAAAATGGTAAAGATCTCCCTACCTAGCACTTCCAATGGGTGCCCAATGGAGACCCATAAATAGGGTAGGGTAGTCTAGCCAGGACACCCAGAACGGATGACCCTGGTAGCAGCACATTGGTCCCAATGTCGCACTTCGTTCAATTGGACCCAAAGGCCTTGCAAGAGCAAGGCACCTATCATCCGTTCTGAGTGTCCTGGATTAGGGGTCCAGAAGTACCACCAGTGGGCTGGGTAGCCAGGCGATCTGGTTTCCAAATGATCAAAACTGATTGAAGATATGATGCGCAGTTTGTTCACGAAAAAAATCAACTCAACCTCTTGCCTGGCGCGACCATTTCACGGAGGGCCGCTTGGGTCACGATGGTGACCTGGGCTGGCGGATGGACCGCTTGAGTCTACCTCAGAACGAGGAAAACCAAACCCTGATGAAGCCTGCACTTCTCCCCAAAAAGCTATGGGTTTCCTGTAGATGTTGCCTTAAACATCTTAAACCAACCAATTCTGGGATTCATATGGTCCTGTTCCATGACTTGAGGCGAACGGAAGGCTCATTGAAGACTCCAGGCATTCAAACTCTGGTCAATCCGAGAATCATGAACATCACCCATTGTAAAGGAGAACAACCTTCCAAGGAACCATGCACTTCACAGAACATGACAGTAAACTTTGTGGAGTCTAGTCTCACAGCGGCACGGAAAATGTGTGCAAAACTATATGAGTGTTCAACCATCAAAACCCAAAGATGTGGTACAAAACCCAGGCAAAGCCTCCCATCTAACAGTTAACACCAGCTCCCAGCCCAGAGACTGGTATTAATGATGCTACTACACTTGCAACTATAGGGTAAATCACTTCGTTTGGCAAAAAAACACATTAAAGATCGATATGTGTTAAATATATGATGTTTGAAGCATGTGTTATGTTGACATATCAGAGATTTTAATAACTATTGGTTCCTACAGATTCCAGCTTCCGCTTCCAGGGTCGCTTCCTCCCGCCGAGCCGACGCAGGAGGCGTAGTCCGGCTTCTGCGAGCCGTCCATGATGCCCGGCCGCTCGCGGAACTGCGTCCGCACGTTGTTGACCACCTCCTGGCGACGATTTCCTCCACCCCCAGGGCCCCAGACTGGAAGATGGTTCGGGCCATAGGGATCCATAGGGCATGTGAATGTTCGTTGGTTGTTTCGATTTTTTGTGCTCCCTTGCTGTTCGGACCACATGGAACCCCCAAAACCACGGGGTTTGCGGTCTTCGGAAAAGGGTCGAAACAATGGGTCAAGACAACAGGGCGATATGTTTGCCGGAAAGGCTTTGGGTTCTGAGGGTGGGGAGATTGGTGGAGATTGATAGTGGGAGTTGGGGCAGGGAAGTGTGAGAGGAGCTGGGAAAGAACATCTCAGCATGATCGTTATGAATAATGGCCTACTAAACCTATGGCATCCGATTTAGTGTTCTGTCGACGCCCGTGTGCTCTTCGGACCTCTTTGTTCTATTCTATTCGCTCCACACCAGCACGGAAACAGGGGCCCCAGATCGGACACATGCACGTTCGAAAGTCAGGAGACCGTTGAGCCATGTGGACCCGGAGTAGGGCATGGTTATAGACAGTGGTTTCAGAGTAGGTATGAGTAGGTAGACAGCGGAAACCTCAAAATGTCCTAGACATATGGGGGTGCATTCTGAAGCGCCCAACTTGGGGATTGTGCCACTATAGTAGTGTATATTAGTGTATATATATATATACATATAGTACAGTATAATATATATATATATACAATAGATCTTATCGTACTATACACCCCTTACCACCAACTGGCACCCAGCCACTCGGCAATTCCGCGCTTTTTGCGCCGATGGTCTCGTCCTGTGCTGCGGACCCCACGGCAGTCATGCATTGGCCACCTGAGGGATGCGGCGACCCGCTTCCGTGCCACTCAACCCAGAAAGACTTGTCCGGCCTGGCTGACGTGTGGCAATTTGGAAGCGCTCTCGCTCAATGGATGTCTTCACACTTCTCTTCACCCTCAAAACGATGGGTTTCCTGTAGAGTGCGATGCTCAACCACCGGTGCGCGAATCCTCACCAGCAGCCTGCGCGCGTCGCAAACGTGGCACGCGGGCGTCGCGGGCGACGCCAAGCGCCGAGCCGCTGAAGTAGAAGACCAGCGTGGCGCCAGCGATGCCGCCGAGGAAGACCTCGGGCACCGAGATGTCCACGGCGTCCACCTTGTGGCCCGCCAGCTCCTGACCGGTGAGGAGCGGACGGTGAGGAGCTAAATGGGCTGTTTAGCTGTCCCAGGGATTCCGAAATCGGAGATGTGGACCCCAAATCGACGTTGGACAAACAGGCCAAACATTGCAAAACAATGGATGACTCTGGAGTCCGGAGGGTTGGTTTATGTTGGTTTTGATGCCATTGGTCTGCAAAAAGGATCCGGCAGCCCGGAAGTGAGGGCAAACCTGAGTCCGGCAGCTCTGAACGGCAAACCTGCCCATAGCCTTAGAGCCATCTCAGTAGCCTCTCCCGCTGGACACCTCCTCAGTGTCTGAGTATATTGCAGTAAACCTGGGAAGATGAACATGGAAGCTGAAAACATTCAGGTTCCATGTTATTCTTCCATGGCCTTTTCTGCGTTTCTTTGTGTTTCACCTGTTGTGCCAGTCTAGCTGAGAGGTCATCCTGGTTTTGTCCTGGCCGGCTCATGGCCTCATGGCCTTTGATGATTTTGAGGGGCATAGATCCCCCCCACTCAAACCACTTACCGCCTGGCTTAATCCTGTGTCACCAGGCCTACAGTGACATGCCAATGAATGATGCTCCTAGTCTGGCACCAGGACAGCCAAGCATCGGACACTTCATCCAAGAATGCCGAGAAGAGCAGGAAACACGCCTTGGACCATCTTGTTGTCTTCGATACGTGGTGGAATCTACCAATGTTTCTCGCAGACTTGCGGTTGTTGTGAACCACTGTGCAAGTTATGGCATGGCCAGCAGCTTCAAACCTAACCATGTTGGAAGCTCAATACAGGTAGCACAAAGTCGCCAGGTCACGCTTGAAGCTCAAACACCAATTGATGAGCCATTTCTACCCTGCACCTGCATTCATCTCCACAGGCTGGTCAACATTCTCGTCGCGTTTTGGAGAACATCCGAGCTAGCATGGTATTGGATGGGAATTGAATCACTTGATGGTTTGCCACCTATAATCATCCAATGATCCAATGCCAATTCTTTCACCCCAACAATCACCTCGAGACATGATTGTCCACCTAATTTTGCAGAATCATAGAGGGCTCAGTTTGGTACCATCTACCAGTACCACACGACCACAGGTACCCCATCTATTCACCAACCAACCAACAGCGAAAGGCCATCTATGGGTCCACCTTCCCTTTTGAATCTACCTACCATCTCATGTTCGGTACAGCTGAACCCTCCTGGCACCTACATGAAGTGGTTCCATGAAGCCATAGGGCTTCCCAGACTCCCAGACCATCCATGGAACTGGAATAATTACATTCTCATGGATGGTCTGGGTTTGGGATCACTTTTTCTTCTCTTCTTCCACCTTGGAACAAAGGCGCCAAGCTGGCAGAGCCCACGGAGAAGCCCTTGGTGATGGCCTAAACCGCACGGGAGGTCACCGCGACAGCAAACGGGAGTGGTGACGATCTCTGTCCGACCCGGCTCAGATGTATACAGCCAGAAACCCAAACAACCGTTGTGTTACTATAAGGGTTTTACTACAAAACCAGGTCAACCTATATTGTGAATGGCCTTTGAGCTGTGTAAAATTAATATCATTTTACAACCATCCAGGAGTAGATAGAATGCGAACCAATCCAAAAAACGGGGACAGTTTTCTAGTTGGTTTTGGATTCTGGATGTTCCATGATTTCCAGGAAGACTCCTGTATATAATGTTCCCTGTCAGCACTGAAGACCCCAACTAACATATCCAAAAACCTTTCCGGTGTTTCCTGGGGAATTGCATGTAACTTCTGCTTTGCGGTAGCTTCAAGAAAAGGTCCAAAAACACTGTTAACCTGGCCTGGGGTACCCACAAAGTTTGCAATTTTGGTCGACCACATGACCATTTTAGAGGGCTATGTTAGTCCTTGCGACTAAGGATTTTGCTGTCACCCTGCATGGGTCATGGATTTTTGTCCATGCTTCTAGTTGCTAACGTGTTTAGGAGCCAAAACATAGTCGTGTCCTTTCAAGACCAAGGTCAAATGGGTCCGCTCTGTGTATATATGTTTAGGGGATGCCTTTCAAAACTGAAAGGTGGTGTTGCTTTCTGTTGTTGGGTTGAACGTGCTCGAGCATGGAGGTCACCTTCTTCGTTCACTCAAAAGTCGTCTCCGAATGGTTGGATCACCTCCCCGCATCAAAGCTCTGTAAAACACATTCCCTGTCAGAGTCATCCAAACATACTTCCTTGCAAAGGACCACATGGAACTCCAAAACCACTGAGTTGTAAAGGAAAATTGTCTTCCACGGATGAATGTGCAGAGTCCATGTTGGTCTGCGGGGAGTAAAACTCAGGGATGTTCACAGTTCAAAACATAAGGCTGCTTGACTTGGCACAGTGACGTGCTAAGACAGAGGCACCGGCTTGCAACAGAAAGCACATGTCATGCATTGTCATGCTACAAGTCTTCTAGCTATCCTGCAGGAATGTTTTGGCTTCGTGCAGGTGTCTTTGGGGGGGTCTTGAAATGCCCTTTAAATAAGTGTAGACCTGATGTGTCTTACACATGTGGGTTTGCATAAAATAAAAGACCTCCCAGTTCGACTCCCTGGAAGAAGGACCAGACCCCGTTTGCCTGGAGGTCCCCCTCTCAAAACACACACCCATGTAGAATCCGCTGTTGTGCACTCCTACACCGCCACCTTGGTGGTGTTCCCCACAGCATCCAGGCTGTCGGTGATGTCCCGCACACTCTCCTGAACAGACGCCGGTGATAGACAACTGCAAGACCAGCGCCCAATCAACGGGCGCCAAAGTGGTTGAAAGAGTAGCAGGTAGCATCATAGGGTCACACACAACTTTTGAATTCCTCAAACTGAAACTGGGGGGTTTAATACCAAAGGATCGAGTGGTCAAGAGGAATGCATGTGATGCCCCGTTCTGCCCAAGGCAGAACGAAGATGAAGCAGGGGCAACAACTATGATGAATTTCTGGGAAAACAAAGCAGGTTAAGCACAGGCCTCTGGGGTTCAAATCATATATTCAACCCACCCAAAACCAAAAAATGATCTCAGTGCGGGTTCACCGTCTTACTTATGGCTGGTGGGTGGTTCCATTTTAAAACATCACTCAGAATTCCCAAAGCCAAAGATTTCTGGTGCTCTGAAGGCCCAAGTCTCGGGCTGCTCACTCATCTCCACGATGCCTCCCGCATTGTCGGTGATGGGGCCAAACACGTCCATCGCCAACACGAAGACGACCTAAACATGGGTGATGGCCACAGGGAGTTCTCGTGGGATTGGCTGATTTGGAACCTGCACCAAACTGTAACATGCCTAGGGCTCCTGGCCCATCTCCTCAGGTTCGGTGGTTAGACCCCCCGTGGCATCCACCCCAACCATCGAACCGAAACGGAGGTGGGCGAGGAGCCCAAACGGGCATATTCTCCATGTTTCGGGATGTACCCAGTTCGGGAAAATCACACATCACCTTACGCAAAACCAGGAGAAAGGTTCGATGACAGGTTCGACTTTTGCCTGGGGTGGACCACCTCCATACCCCTTGCCCCTCATAACTCCAACGGCTTTTCGGATGACTCCCGAACCGTGATTCCCTGGAAAATGCAGGTTAACACTTTCTCCACCTGTTCTTGTTTAGAGGGGTTATCCACTTTTCCTGGGAACATGTGGTCCAGTGGTCCAGCAAAACCTCTTTGGTTTGAAGCCAGGACCTGTCTGGTTCAACTCAGCTTCCTAGACCCACACAAACATTATTAGCACTATATACGCTATATACAGCATACCTGAAGCATCTTGCACTGGAGAAATCCCAATTGACTGAACTTCCCGCCTGTGCCTTTTGAATGGGACAGCCATGGCATCCCCCAAACACAAAAAGAACACACGCAGTCATCGCCAACCTACAGGGATTTCAGAGTATATGGCACAATCCCCATAGTTTTATCATAATCCCCAAGTTGGGTGGTATATACGGCCCCTAAACAATAATCAACGTTGTTTCACGTTGTTTCTAGTTGCGGACCCCATATGATAAACTTGGGGGGAGTCACTTGCCTGCCATACTGGGGGATGTCGGATGTCGCCATGCGCCGTCGTCGTCCGCCCAAGGCGCGGTGGAGAGCATGCCCATCGTGGCCACCGCCGTGCCGAAGAGCCCGGCCGAGGCGCTGGGAGCGCCGAAGGCCGACATGCCCGTCCTGGAAAAACAAGGCGCGGAAACCAGAAAGAACAGGATTCATCTCCACGGGGCGCGTCGCACGGGGACTGGAAGAGTTTACCTATAAGAGTTTTCTACATGAGAATCAACCCAATGTAGGTAGTACAGTATATATTCCAGTCCCATGGATGCTTTGGGATCGTTCACCTACTTAGTAGAACAGCAAGGGGCTGATGCGGGCGTGGCACAGATCGGACCTCACACGTTTTGGGTGGATGTTCCACGGGTGGTGTAGGTGCAGGTGCTCCATATGACGCAGAGATGCAATCTACCAGCACCCGACTCTACAGGTCTCTTCTGGTGGCTTTTGGAGACTTAAAAGTGGCGGGTGGAGACCTGTTGGAGGGTGCCTGTAATATGATTATATAACTATTGCCTTCTTTTTGTTCTTGTTTTTTAAATACTGCTTCAACAATGATTTCCAACACCCCACCAAAATCATGGATGGTCAAACGTCTTTCTTGTGCGAGAGATTTGTCAATGTAATCATGTAATCTAATTGATGAAGAACCCCCCATGTTGGATCCACGGACTTGCGGGCGGTCTCATCTCTCGCGCGCTCCCACTGTCCCCCTTCCTGGGTGTTCCAGGGGGGTTGACGTGGGGGTCCCCCATGTTGGATGCACGCACTTGCTCAACCTGGACCCTCCAAAGGACCCCTTAAAAATGGGACATGGCCCCATAAAACCAGGTACGCACCTTTACCGAGGTACCTTTGAGACTCCAGGAAGATATATATACATGATCTTCCGCTTTCGGCTTTGTGGATCCTGCAGGTTTAGCCTTAGCCCTCTGATTTTCGAAGAATCAATTGGAACCAGCAGCAGCACTGTAACCCACATTGTTTGGCACCTGTGGAGGTAGTGCTGCACTTTGGAACTACTGGCGTTCAAAAGCTACTAAAAAGATCTCTTAGATAAGGGGTGGAATCCTCTCCTTTCGAGCAAGAACATGCTCCTGGCGTATCTTCTCCTACACTTTGCTTGGATTTGCTTAAAGAACGAGAACAAACAACATGTTCCCCAAGTCAGGGACTTCAACCCAGTTCGGAAAAATACAACATCACCCGGAAACCGCAACAAACATGCTTGGACTTGCCAGGGCTCTTGTAGGAGCACAATAGCGCCACGCAAATGATGGCCTTAGCTGTGTGCCACGGGATCTTCACCTACACGACACATTGCTTCCTTGATGGTTTATGATGTTCTCTGCAGCAGCGGACCTCTTCCACACCGGTCCACCCGATTCCAAGCATCAATGGCTCAACTTCCAAATGGCTTGACTGTTGTACAGATGACTTTTTCAAGGGTTCCACCTGACAGGCAAAACAGCCTTTGAACATCTGTACACCAAGCTGGCTAGAGAATCTAAAGCAAGGACACTTATTTATTGATCTTCACTGTACATGTTGACTTCCTATTTATCAATGGCACTTGATCCAGGGGGGGTTCTTGTTTAGAGGTGGACATTACATGGTATTACCAGGCATCTCTGGTCCGTCCTTCTCCACGTCCCGTCCGAGAATCCGATGGGGCGGCGGTCGCCTGCATGCCCACGGACATCCCCGCGATCACGTTGGTGCCGTGCCCCGTGAGGGAGGCCTGCGCGATCTGCCGCACCGGGGGGGTAGTTGAAGTCGGTGTAGTACCTCAGCCGGCGGTGGGACTCGCGGAAGGGGGTGGGGGGGGGGAGGGGTTTTAGCGGACCCACATCCATTCTCAGAAGGCACTTGGACCCTCCAAACCTACATGACAGTGTCGAACACATCACCGAACCGGAGAAGGTATGACTGGATCCCTAGGGGAGGAGAGTGAGGGTGAGGTTTGCAAGGTGGGCTGGTGAAGGGCAAAGGTCCAGCAAGATTCGTGGATTTAGTAGACGTCAGCAGGGTCTACAAACCACCCTGAGCTGGGTGGTGCTGGTACAGTTGGTTTGAGCTTGTGTCCCACGGCGTGTCCCACTGTGTCCGTCGTGTCTCAGTCGTCTGCCACCTCGATGCGCTTGTTCTAGGTGCACACACGCCTTACCCAAACACTCCATGTATGGCATATTTACATACATTGGGGTGGTTTCAGGATGTTTCAGGGGTCAAGGAAGGCATATACCGTACATGGAGTGTCTGGGTTAGAAAGAATGGCACGATGAATCCTGCCCGCTACTCCAGTCGCCGTTCTCCAAACTCAAAAGCTCTCCCGAAGAAGTGCTGTCGTCGAGGCGCTGGGTCACCAAGATGAAGAGGAAGGCGGTTCCAAGGCCCACTAAGCCGCACACTGAGAAGTACATCCATGCAGTTGGATGAGCATCTGTGTAGAGCAAAAGCCTGCAACAAAAGGTGGGAGTCTCCAAAGTGTGGTCATAGACTTAGATGTCATAGGAACCAAAAAAGGTGCACCACGAGAAACCCTTATTGAATAAACCTAATTATTATCTGGTTCGCTGGACTGGGTATAGGAGAGGCAGTGACACAAAACCTGCGAGAAACCCATGCTGAGACCGGGCATGGGTCCGCTGAGACCTTCGCCAGTTCTGCTGAGACCTTCCACAAAGATCACCTCCAGGGAATTTATTGAGTGGTGATTTCTTTGTGAACATGCCGTCGTAGCTTGCATTTAACACGACCAAGCTGTCATTTTACTCCTTCTGGCAATCCAGGGTTGAAAGTTTCCCTAGCTTCAACTTGCCTTTTCTACAGCCAAGTGCCTTCTCAGAAGGAGGTACTACTTAGACCCTCCTGGCATCCACCTCCAATCACCGTGAGAGCCCAAACGGATCACCTGCCTCGATCTGCACTTTCTGCTGTCCGTCCCGCTGGTTGCTTACATCGTCGATCTGGGAACTCACACGGCTTAAAAGGGCGCTTTTGGTCGCATCCCGAGAGCGGCCGGGCCTGCAAAGAATCACAATGCCCACGGCAGCTAAACCCACGGAGATTTTGTAGCCACTCTTGAGCACTTCCATGGGATCAATGTTCTTGGCACTTTTTCCTGCGGGCAGGAAGACCCTAACAATCCAGATACATTCTCAGAAGGTACTTGGACCCTCCAAACCTACATAACAGTGTCTCCAATCACCTTCCGAGAAGGTACTTGGATCCCTATGGAAGAGAGTGTAGCCAAAAAGATCCAAAAAGCTTTCAAGCAGTATACCGGGTGGAGAAGTGAAAGCGAAGAAAACACCTACATGTGGTATTTCCAGTTGTGTTCATGGAGCTCACCCCCTAAGAATAAGGCATCAAAATCATCAAAACAGCAGTTCCGTTGGTCCAACGGAACGGCGCTACCGGCAGGTCGGACGATCAGCGGCGACGGCCAGGCCGCCGGTCCACTGCTGCGATTCTTTGGGGACCCCCAAATAGATCCCAAACACTCCGGGACTGCCATATATGCCTATCTGGACCCCTCAAACCACCCCTGGCCATGGAGTGTCTGGGGATAGAAAAGTAGATCCCCACTAAGAATGTATCGGAAACCGTGCCACTATCGATTGGCGCATCACTATATATAAGGTTGTTCTTGATTCTTTGAGCCCTCCAGGCCGCTGGTCCAGTCTTGTCCAGCTGCGGGCCCACCCGCTCCTTTGGGCGACTCGGTCATCATGATCCCGATGCCACTGACAATGATGTCCATCCTAAGGGCCGCCGCACAACGCACCCCGCAGTCGTACGGCTCGCAGCGGTAGGATGCACTCGCCGCGGCTCCCTATAAGCAGGAACCGTTGACACCGAACAAATAGAACCTATGAACCGAACGGACGGGCATTCACTATAGGAGCATGTTCAAATGAACCGAACAACAACCGCCAAATCAGGTTGATCCTACATTGAGGCTTGTGAAATCGATGTGAGTCACCTCGAAAAAACGGGTGTTCTCCTCGTATCCGCATTTTCGGGCTGGGAATGCACTTGCAATAACTGACTCCAGAACCGTTTTCCTGGAAAATACGGGTTAACCGAACTGTAGGCATATGTTCCATTGTATTCCATACATGGAGTGTCTGGAACTCAAGCGCTCATAGGAGCTCAAGCGAACTATCCTTTCCTCTATATGCATGGTTGGTTCTCAGCAGTCCCCAAATCCCAGCGACCTTCCCCAAATGTCGTTTGAAGAAAAAAACCAAGCGTCGCGTGGATGGCCAAGGGAAATAAGACATAGCCGCTGGCAGCGTCAGCAGGCAGCTGCTGTGACAGGGTGCCGCCCAAAATCATGGCCTCGATGCAACCGACTCTCTCTGGAGTATGCACAAATGAAACAAAGAGCATCAACCTGGACCCTCCAAGGGGTGTCCTGGCTGGACTAGCCCCCCACTACCGCACTAGGCTTCCAGACAGGGCACCCCGACAGGAGGCTCCTGGAACACACAAACAAATCTGATACCCTGTCAGCTGGATTTCTGCTGGCATTGGATCGAGAGTCGCATCTGTAGGAAGTGCTATAGGTAAGTTTGGATGTTGGAAGGGTCCACTCATAACGAAGCCGAGAAGAGTCAGGTGGATCCAACATGATCCAACCAAGGGGAAGTGCATCCCAAGGAGCCACCCTTAAGCATTCCGGAGCCCTTCGGCTCCATCCAGAATGCGCTGAGCATTGGTTGCAAGCGATTCAGGGCCCGGATGAATCCATTTTCAAACAGGTACACCCGGGTAAGAGACCCACATCGAACCTGGAAATGGACCTTTGGAAGATCATTTTCCTCGACAACCCAGTGGTTTTCAGGTTCCACGTGGGTCTCTTCCACACCGCGCCATCCCTCCAACTATCATGGAAGCTGAGCCAATACTCCCTTGTAGAGGATTTCATGGTATTCCAGGGCCGAAGGGTAGGAGCAAGGCCTGTAAGCTTGAAAAGGGGAAACACGATGAAACACGCTGCCGGTCGTGGTCAATCCCGGCAAGGCTCCTGGCCCACCTGAGAAGATGCTTGGGGTGGGTTGTTGGGGGGGTGTAGCCACCGAACCTAAGGATCTGGGCCAGGAGCCCATTCGGGAATGGTCAAACCTGGAAGCAGCTCGGAGCAGGTTCCAATGCATTCCAGTTGCCCACTCCAAACCTCAACAGTTCAGGGAGACCTCGCACCCTTTGCTCTCCCAACCAACGTTTCCACCTCCAAACCCACTGGTCGACTCAGTCGCCCAAAGGCACAGTAGCTAGACTGTGTAGACTCTCATGTGTCCTCAACCCCCCTGTCTCTTCTGATCCTCAAATCCTCGAATCGAGTCACACCCTCCAACCCTCGGTCTCTTCGCTTCCGATCGGTCACGAGTTTTTCAGCTCCATTGAAGCCTCCCCATCTCGGACGTCCCGAGCAGGCCGTCCATTCAGTGTCGACCTGTCCGTTTAGTGGAGTGTCGACACAAATCCTCCCCTTCCCCCCCTTCCAGCAAAGGTTGAAGAACCCGAACTAGACGAACTAGACTATATATTCTATAGCTATATAGTACCCCTGGTTTTCCGGGTCCTAGTTCAGGTCACTTCACCTCTGTTGCTTCCCCTTTCCGGGTGACCTGCAGGTGGAGAATCCTCCAAACCACCTGGGTCCGGTCATCGCTCTCTCGGCCCGGTCGCCGCGAGGATCTCGCCGGCGATGGACTCGAAGAGATCCGCGCCGCGCCCCGCGCAGTCGCCCACGTTGTCGCCCACGAGGTCGGCCTAAGGACGATCGTCGCGAGGAAGCCGGTTTCGGTGAAGGGGTGAAGGACGATGGTGAGTGGCCAGTCAGAGAGAAAGGGGGCGATCGGCGATGAGTTGAATAGATGGTTGATTGTGGTGTTTGTTCTTGTGTTGTTGGATTGGTCTTAATTCTTTGTGGTGCTTGTGATCTTGTTTTTTTCCCCACTGGGTGTGCGGGTGGCTGAAAGGTCTGAGTGAAGAGATGTAGGTGATTCCAAAGATGATGTCCGTCTCACTCTCTCTCTTTCTCTAGTATTTGTGGGAGGTTTGGGAGTATTGGACGTCCGGAGATGGGACTATCGAGGAAAAGAAGGTCCTAGGTCCTAGGATGTCGTGAAGTGTCGTTTTTGATGGAATAGAAACGTGGAACGTCGATCTTGTGCAAGAATGTGCTATATAATAATTATATATAAGTAACGCATTTTCCTCTCTACAGGTCAATGAGTTGCATTGGTCATACAAAAACACTACTCACGGAGGTCAAATCATAGGTTTTTAACAGACTGGACCTGCAGGGTCTGGATCTACCCCAACAGGACCCATGAGACTGGATTTCCAGTCTCATGGATCCCTTTACATATCGACTCCTGGCCGCAGTCTGCAGATACTGGACTGCCAGCCCTCGACCGACCGATCAAACCGCCAGATCTGGAAGAGGTCCAAATAGGTACAGTGGAACAGGAGACATGTTGAGCACTTGATGACACCGGATGATGGACTGTCGTTTGAGCCAGCCATAGACCTGCACAAAACCCAAACAGGTTGATCTGTGTTTGGGCGGGCTTGGTTCAAGCCAAGGACTTCATGACTTCACCACCACCTTGGTTAATGAGAGGGGACTGTGGCATTGTGCTGCCGCATCAACTTTGACTTGCAGCATCCTGTAGCCTCACTCAAACACCATTTAAACGCCAACAAGTCTCAAAAACTCCCCGATGTCCAAATGCCATGTGATCTGCCCACCTTCTCTGAAAGCATGTCATCTGCACCACTCTGACAAGCATCCAAGCATCCCAACATAGGTTAAGTGACCTTATAGGACCCTACATGGGGTACCTATGGGATAGTCTGTAAGGTCCTTCAACCTCTGTTGGTCCCATCATGAAACACATCATGCTGTCTGTATGTCTCACCGTCTCACCTCTTGGAATCCCCTTGTCATCTCCGGTCGTCACAGCCAGGTGGACGAACCACAATCACTGCCTTCAGGGAGCTAAGCCTTACCCCCGCCCCGCCCGGCTTAGGGTTACTCTATCTGGAACTCACATGGAAACGGAACGTTTGTAAAGGAAAATGGTCTTCCTGAAACGGAACGTTTGTAAAGGAAAATGGTCTTCCTTCCGGCGCCATGCCATCCACATATATACCCATGTGAGTTCCAGGGGGTGTAGTCACGCCGGAGCTTTGACGTCACCGACGCAGCATACACAGCGAAGGGGCGATGACCGCCGGGTTTCGCGGATCATCTTCCGGGATATCCGATTCCACCTTGCCCACCATGTCCTCAGCAGTCCGAGATCTGCACGATGACTTGAAGGAGGAAGAACCAACAGAGTCTGGAAATCAAAACCCCCTCCCCCCCAAAAGAAAGGGGGAAGAAACACAAACTTCGGAAATCTTACAGGGTGTGGGCAAGCAAGCAGTTTTGTCCCTGCGAAACGTCCATCAGGGAAGGGTTGCATCATAGGCCATGTTTTCTTAGACGTTGTCAGGCGGGAGCTGGTCCTGCTACAGAATTAACATGAATTGACCACTGGTCCCGCCGGGGGTCGGCGCCCACGTCTGCCGCCTTGGTGTAGATGCCGCCGCCCAACTGCGCAAAGAGCGCCACGAAGGAGGCGCCAAAGCCGTAGCCCACCAGCAGGAAGGGCAGCTGGTGCAAAGCGGCCTCTTCAATCGTCCCCTTCAGCGACCCCTTCAGCAACCCCTTCCACCGTCCCTCTGGATAGATCCGATCGGCGACCGGACCCCTCCTGCCAACGTCAGCCATGGGCCAGCTATGGGGTTTGTGGAAAGACCGGGCAGTCTGAAGACTGAAGACCAAACCATGCTTGTCGGAGGGTGAGCCCGCATGGATGGAAGTATGATGTCAGCAAACGGGTGTCCAAAACCTGACACCTTTTGGGGGATGGAGAGTGAGTGGTTCTTGGATGCATTTCAATCTGCTATTGATCCACAAAATAGTACCAGTGAAGGTTGCAGCCATCAGCCCCTATACCGTCTACTTCTTTCATCCTCTTTCTATGACAACCGGGGGGCATTGGTTGCCTCTTTTTTTTGGTCGTTCTCTGATGCAAACGTTGTTTTGGACCCAACACCTTCCAGTTGAGCATATTGGCTAATTTCATGTGTCAATGGAATGCACAAAAACATGTTTATGTTTGCCAGTTCCCCACCTGACAACCACATGTTTGCAGGTCGTGTTGCAGGCCATCTAGGAGAACAAAAACACAATTTCCAGGTTTGTCTTTCAGACATCAACATGCTTGATGGGATTTTGTCTCATGATGTCTCATGTGCACGCTACCGGTGTGAAACAGGCTACCGGCTACCCAGTGGCAGGCACTACCAGCCGTACACCAAAAAGAAGTCCGATGATGCCCAAGAGCACCTTGGAGAAAGGAGCAGCAAACTCCATCAACTCCTTCTAAAGACAGTCTTTTTTTTCTCTCACCCTCCAAGCCCAACCCAAAAACCTTCTCAGGTTTTGAATGGATGAACGGTTGATGCATCAACTCGTGTCTCTCACACGGATGCATCTTGCTCCAAACCTCGCCACGACCGATGGGACATTTCCTTATAGTTACCTCCGGGGTCATTTTCATGGGGTAATATGTATGTAACTATTCCAGTCCCCATTCGTCTGGTCTGGGTAAGCAATCAGGTGGTTGATTGAAAAGGAGTCCGGTGAGTTTGGACCGTGGAATGTGAACCACACGGTGTGAACCACACAGTCGGCCTCGATAGTCTCGACCATCCATGGAGCACAGCTGGAACACGACATCACTTGGAAGGACACACATCAAGTTCTGCAAATCACAAAGGACCGGACGATCACACTCCCTGGAATACTCATGGTCAAGTGAGGTGGTTTTCACTCCACTTCTACTTCCTCTTTCAGGGCGTCCCATACCGACTGGAACAGGTGCCGATCCCGTGACCGCCCCCCATGACTTTCATGGTGACCGGTCACCCTTCCAGTTCGACGCTCGTGGAACTTCTTCTCCGCTCGTTGGAACCATTCGGTCCTCTGGTCCTCAACCCAAAACACTCCATCTACACCCGGGAAGATTAACATAGAACCTGAAAACCACTGGGTTGTAGAGGAAAGTAGTCTTCCAAAGGTCAATGTTCAGGTTCCATGTGGGTCTCTTTCCCGGGTGTATGTTATATGCCGCCCCAAACAGACCACTCTGGCACCCAACCACCGTTTCGCAGCCGTCCGTCCTGCCAGTCCCAGACACGTCGTGTCTGGGGAAACACGACGTGTCTGGGTCATGAAGATATTCACCACTTGGCAATCTCGAGACCGGAAAAGTCTCATGTAAAGGAAAACCACCACGCCAAGGTGTATAGGTCAATGGAGCCAGTCCCAGCTCCATGTATGCCTACATTGACCCCTCAAACCACCCCAACTGATCGGCATATATGGCAGTCCCATGGAGTGTCTGGGTATCCCCGTGCGCGAAGAAAAAAAACGTATGGTTCCCGGACCACCACGGATCCTTCCGGGGGCATGCCCGAAGTGACCAGTGACCGAGTTCGACCTAAGCAGCCCCAGTGGAAGACCCTCCATCCATCCTCCATCCTCCCCGCTGCAGAGCGCCCACGGCTTCCGCCGGAGTGCCATAGAAACCACCAGCACGCCACCTGGGAGGCTGGAGAGCACGGTGGAAGATCTGACGAGAACGGAGCCGCTGATTTCTCCAAGAGAATCACCCAAATCACGTCACGTCCACCTCTCAGGGAACTCGTAAGAGGGACACCCAATCTCCCAAATCCGTGCATACATGTGCAATCATGTGCATACTGTAGCAGGTGATCACGCTGGGTAGGCATACCAAACTCTTCCCCCCCGCCCAAGGTCTTCCCGATTTCCACCCAAAAACGACGGCAAAACCTCAAATCCACGCCCAACGCCGCCCTAATGGTCGCATCAAAACACTGAAAAGGACCAAAACACCAACTCAGCACCCCCGGTCGAACCGGGTCCAGGCCACTGAAGGCGCCGGCGCGCAAGCCAACGGCGATGGCCTCGCCAAAGGACCGGGTGGCAGCACTCGCCACGCGGATGTTGGAGCGCACCGCCACCTGGGCACCCGGGTCCCCGGGAGGTGCGGCGCCGTGGAACGGGGTGGACACATGGGGTGGCCCCCCCCCTTGTTGGAAGCGTGTCGTAGTGGGCAACACATGTGTGTTAGTGGATGATTTTAGTATAGATGTAGGAGGGTGTATCTCTATATGAGTTCACCATAGGTTTTGCGGGTAAGAAACCAAACACTCCAACTTGGGTGGCCTCTTTTTAGACATCGACAATCAAAGGTCTGACATGTCATGCAACAACCTACACCTACATTCTCACTCCTCCAACCCACGTGGGTTGGAGGGGTCACCGAGCTTACAGTACAACCAACGGCCGAACATGGCAAAACCACTTGGCAAAACATGGCCAAAAACATCCAACAACTTAGAAAAACAGGTCGTTGGTTTTTGTGGTTGAAGCAGTTGAGACATGTTGAAACTTCGATGTTTCTGACCTTGGATGCCTCTGACTTAGCAAGCCCAAGCACCAGTCTGGGACTGGGCCAGGCACCGTGGCGGCACCTATTTCGGTCCCATAGAGCTGGGGGAAGGCTTGCCGAGCTGCCCACATGCCCACATAGCCAGCGATGCCTGTCGCGGAGGAATGCGGTGTAATGGAGTGTTGGGGCAGTTGGCCATCCATGGAGTGCATCTGTTGAGCAAATCGCCACGAAAAACTTCATCAGTGCAATGCAAACTTAATAGCCACATCGCCTGAGAGCACCGAGCCAGTGGCAAAGGAGACTGCTACGCAAAGTGCCAAGCGCGAGGAAGGCACGTGAGAAAGATTCCTTAGGAGTTCGACCGGCAGCACATCAAAATGAAGGGAACTCTTTCGAGTGGGCTTAGCCATGAATTTGGCAAGCACTTGAACCTGAGACACTACGTAATTCAACCGTCATTATTACCCAAGCGTCCCTGCCCTGTCTGTCACCAGTGTCAAGACCTCAGAAATGCTCAGATATATGTCACAATAGCCCTGAAAGAAGAACCAACTTTGCCCTCCCATCTCCAGCCAAATCGGTCTCCCTCCTTTTTCCGCTTTTCCGCTGCTACGGCCCGAGCTGCTTCGGCGGTTCCCGGACGATGTACATCAGGAAGATGCCGATCAAGACCTCGGGTGAGTCTCAGTTCGTCTCAGCAGTTCCATGGAGTCTGCCAGGAGTTCCATGGAGTTGGGTGCTATCCATGAAAGAAGATCAGGGTGCCCCTGTCTGCACTGGGCTGCCAAGCGTGGGAAAAACGGGCCATGTCTGCACTGGCCATCCATTCAGACCCCACAGGTGGTCGTTTATCCCACGGATCCCAGGCAAGGCTCCCTGGCCCTGGCTCCCTGGCTCCCTGACCCCTGGCCCTTTCAGGCTCCTGACTTGGTTTTTAATCCTTTTACAACAGGTGGATCATGACTCCCAGGTCGGGAACAAACTGAGTCAATCATTTGAAACTAACGGAAGTTCTGGGAAGGCTAAGAACCACTCCAAAAAGGCTCCTCCAAATGCAGGTCCCAGTCCGTTCAACAGGTTACTTTAGAGATGACAAATTTCTGTTCTTGGGGCACGGGAGATCTTAGCTTCGACCGCACGACCTTGTAGCCGAGGCTCTAAAACTGCCAACTTGGCGATGCTGGCATACCTGGATCCAAAAGCTTCCAGATTCAATATCCCACACATCAAATGAATTCAACATCCCACATTCACTCTATATATTTGATTGCACAAATAGGTTGCAGTGGTAGGTCTAGGGATGGTCTATGAGTCTATGACAGTCAGTCTATGTTCTTTAGTTCTTTGTTTTGGGAATCATGTCTGCTAGTGGTGGTGAGGCCAAAACGCCATAAGCACGCACTGAATTCCAACGGTTGTCACGTCTGAAAGACCACAACGTTGTGTTTTTCACATCAGGATCGAAAAACACAGGAATCGCAGCCCGGGGAGCTGTGTAGAGAGGAAGCCTGCAGCCCCTTCTCGAATCGCATCTGAGACTTGCCTCATCTTCTCATCACCCTCATCCTGGCGCCGAACGCTTTTGCGGACCCATCGCGACCCAGGACCCGTAATGCGTGCCTCATCGGATAAGAACGAACCAAGGAACACCGGTTTCTTGTTACAGTGGGGGGCGTTAGGATCCAATGCTTGTTTAAAAGGTGATGGTGCAGTGCAGGTGCAGCTGCTTTCTGTTTTCAGGGAATTGGAGTTGGTGACAAGTTCAAATGATGATCTGATGATGATGGATGATGCCGGATGATGATGGATGATGGATGATGATAGATGATGGATGATGACCGATGAATGATGAATGATGAATGATGAACGATGAATGATGGATATGATGATTATGATGATGATGATGATGCTCTGGTTCGTCCCAGCAAGGCAGCAGTTTGATTCTGGAAATCGTACCCTCCGGCACCCAACTCTACAGGTTGCCTGCCACTCTTAAGTCTCGATTTCAGCCACCAGAAATTGAAGACCTCTAAGAAGATCGGAGACCTGATCGAGCTCGCTTCGGATGTGATTCCGACCGTCTGACTGCGGACGCCCTCCCTCTTCGCGCGATTCATTGCCTTGGCCAGGACCCAGCCAGCGAGCCAGCCCGCGAAGGCCAGGCCGCTGATGGCCACCAGCGCCACCAGGTACCTCAGCCCCATCCTCACCCTTGTCCAGTGAACATTCCGGGCGCTTCTGGATCCGAAACGCTTTCAGAAACCTGGTCCACGGAGTGGGCGCTTCATGTGGATGACACGAATCGGTAGGGAACGCCAACTCTCCCAAAAATAGGTGGATACTGATAGTGGAATCCCTTCTGCTGTTTGAAGTCACTGCATCGGAGTCAATGTAGTTGGAACTTGAATACATAAACTCAGTGAAATGATCATGCAGGATCATGCAGGAATTGGAAACTTCATTGCTTTTTCGAGGGAAATGGTAGTTCCTCCATGTTCCTCCCAAAATCCACTTCCGAGGCCTTGAAAGAAGTGAGCACACAGGGAAAACCCACACCCTTCCCAGAAGGCCCATTGAGGCCTTAAAAAGCAAGGCAATATGCATATCTGGATCTTCCAACTATGCAAATTGTATGCATGTTCATCCACACAAACCAAAAGGCATAAATTTTGTTGCAAGATCCACGTATAGATGTAGATAGACATCAAATGATATCAGTGTATATAGATGTTTAGGGTGACAATGTTCATCTACCAACCCCATTGTAGAGAGGGACCGCAACTTCCTGATTGTTGCACCAAAACACAGAAAGTTTCTCGGAAGCCTTGGTGTCCGATGTATATACATGCTCCATGATCCCTAAAGCTCCAACTTCCTCCGTTTCAAAGTCTTTTGGAGATGCTTAGGGTATGCATTGGTTTGCTTTGGCGGACACCTTCAGAGAGGGTAGGGCTCGAGCCCTGCAAATTGGCATCAACCATCATCAACCCCTCCGAAAACCAATGGCTGAGCCGAGCTGCAGCATAAACGGCAAGGGAGCCCCAGTCATCGGTGGGTTTCGGGACTGTAAGATCTCCTCAGCGCACCAGGTTCAGTTCAAGGTACGGCCGGGTAACAGGAGCAAAATGACTGGGTGAAACTCCAAAACATAGTAGTTTCTTGCTATACTATATTAATATAGTAGTAGTGCACTTGCTACTAGTAGCGATGCACTTGCGCCGGCCTCCCAGAACTTTCTGATTGCAAAACGAGCCGTGGCATTTGGAGATCTTTTAGCAGTGTGCTGTGCATGGTCGACGCATGGCAGTGCTAAGCGCGACCACAACTTCCTGCGGACCCCGGACCCGACCGCAACGCGGCCTCTTGCATTGAGAATCATCGTCGAAATAATTGCTAACTCCAAAGCCGTTTCCCTAGAACATAGATCATGGTTAACCCAGGACCCTTTCCCACCTGTTTAGTGGGGAAACCAACCTCCAAAAAAAGACGATGAAGCGGGTTAACTGTATTACTAAATAAAAATATATTACATACATCCTATATCCACATTTCCTGCATGGGTAGATGTGTGTGGTAGGGCTGCACTGGAACCCAGTCACTGCTAAGACTGCACAGAAGAAGCAACATGAACACCTACAAAATCCTACAAGTCCACAGTGGCCCGCCTGAATTGAGAGTCCAATCGTGATCTACAGTAGTTAACCGTCAAACACATGGTTTTCACCACCTGTCCAGCCTGGTTTGGGTGGGTGACCCTCAAGAGCTGTCGTTTTTCATGCCCAACTCGTGCCACATGGGCCGTTCAACCAGCTGCCACACGGCCGACTCACCATCGTCACACCCGAAGACGTTCGATGTTCTCGGTGAACTCAGTGGCGTGAACCGAACCAACGTCCCACTGGAGATCACCTGAACCTACCGAATGCACTGAACGTACGGTGCCTTGCACTTGCCCAATTCATCCGAAAAGCATGATACATAAATCCAACTCTTTCCCACATGATCCACAAGTACCTCTCCCACTGTTCAGGCCAAAAGCCTCCGCAACCTTGGAGGATCGCAACGACCACCCTCCCTGCGCACGCCCGCACAACCCACTGGTGAGCAAAGCTTCCGTCGCCTCCATTAGGCCCCCTGCCGCGCGGTCTTCCACGATCTTCCTCGAAGGAAAAGAAACGAGACACCCCAAAATACGACAAATGGGATTGGACAAAAATGGCACTCCATACCGGGACCCCCTAAGGGGCTTCTATTGATAGCCCCTTAATGTTGACCTTTGATTAATAAAGATCCCCACAATAATGACTTTTTTTTTTCCTGCACTGATTAATAAAGGCCCCCAGAATAATGTCTTTTTTTTTGGAGGGATAGTTTTTTTTGGTGATTTTTTCATTGTTATATAGTGTTATTTTTACTCTCTGGCTTACTGATTTTTTAGATCTTTGGATGCAGATTTCCAGTGGCAGCAAAATATTTTTTGGGATTTTGAAGATCTTTGGGTGCAGATGTCCTTTAGGAATTGGAGATGTCCATTGAGATTTTGTGGATTTTGAAGCATAAGCTCTTTAGTTTTGAAGCTTTCCAAAAGTTTCCAAAAGTCAGTG